AAATCAAATAAAAATAAGCATGCTGCTTAATTACAGGATCTACCTTATAGCCAGATAAGGATTGTAGATCTTTACCTGGTTCTTAATATAGAAGGTCGTTTGTAATACTTTGTGGTTTTGGATGTGATTGTTTGTTCTTCCCACAGGACAGTGAATAAAAACATTCTATCTATCTTGTAGGGGGGAAATGCAGTAAGAATGTGCAGTTCACAATTCACCGGGTTTACACATCTGGGACTCTGTAGAGCTTTAAGTCGAAACCGCCTTGTCTGAGATGCAGCCTTGTGAGCTACACAAGTCCTTAGGCTCAGCAGCGGAGCACGTGCCTTGCGTGTGTTAAAGGTCCTAGGTTTGATCCCTAGCATGTCCAATTGAAAAATGTTTACCGGAAGAAGATATACTCGAGTAAGCTGTACTAGGTTAGACGGACAAACTAGTCCAATATGGAGCAAGGTAACTTCCTATGTTCCTTTGTTTCTCCTTGAGGCATAACAGAAACTAAAAATGTGCAGCATCATGCTGTACAATTGGTGGACAGTATGAAGCCTCTGAGTTGGCTAGGCATGGACTTTGGTCACCAGGACCCTGACCACATGCCCTTGCCTTGCCAGGAGGTATCTTTTGGCAGATTCACCTCCTGTCTTAGGGAATCTGGGATGGGACAGACACACTCCAGCTATTCTTCTGAGCATGACCATCCTCTAGTGTGGACTTGATAAAGTGTTGGGATGTGTAGCTTAAGATCATGGCCCACTTTGGTATGTTGGCCAGTTTAATACTATACCTGGGGTTGTTTGTTTTTTAAAACTCAGAATAGGTTGGTTTGCTTATGCTCAAAGGATTGTTGGAAGATTCAAGATGGATAAAAGAAAGTACTTGTTCACGCAACAAATGGTGAAACTATGAAACTTGTTCCTGGGGAGGCAGTTCAGACAATTTCATGGAAGAGAGGGCTATTGATGGCTACTAAACACTACACAAATCCGGAGTGGAGTCCCTAAGACAGATGGATGGTGCCATGTACGCCTCCTTCTGGCAACTCCTGCAGCCAAGCTGGTGCCAAATGTATTGCTCTGCTTTCCTTTGGACCACATCAGTGAGTCAGAGAGGAGGGTCTTGTTGTCTGGGCAGCCCAGGTCCTCCAGACACACTGCGCAGGCTTGCACCCTGGACTTTGGTGCTGCTAATGCAGCAGTTTGACTTCATCCCTGGAGGCACACTCCATTGTCTTTTGAGACAGATGGATGCCAGCCATGCCGACCACAGTTGGAGGTAGCAGTGCATCCGAATGCCAGTTTCTGGAAACCACAGCAGGGGAGAATGCTCTTGTGCTTGGATCCTGCAATCAGGTTTCCCGCAGGCATCTGCATGGCCACTGCGAGAACAGGATGCTGGACTGGATCAGCCTGATCCAGCAGCTTCTTCTTACGTTCTTATGATTTTACACAAAACTTTGTTGCTACTAGGACATGGTGATGACTGCCCTTTCCCCCCCCATGTCCCCCACGCTGCTTCCATCATACACAGAGGAAGGGCATGGTTTCCAAGCATCAGTAGCAAGACAATGTGCAGGTGTGTTAGAGAATTGGTTTCATTCATATGAATAATACAATAGTTATCATGTATTGTTAGCAAGACGTTTGACAGTGTTTCACTTGGTATTCACATTGATGGGCATATTTGTAAAACACTCTCCTGAAAATGTTGGCTGAAAAGGCTGCTATAAGAAGAGATATAATGAAATATTAATAGGAAGCATGGTCCTTAATAGGAAATGTGGTCCTTAGGGCATTTTGTTATCCTAGTTTTAGTTCTGTTCTGTTTGGCACATTTCTGCATAACTTAGAAAACGTGTTCATGAGATCGGCAGATGTCATGGCACTGAGAGGGATTGCATCCACCTCCGAGCCTCAAATTGTCATGTTAATGTGGACAGTTAGCTTGTAAGTATGCCAAAACCTTATAACGATGAGTGCTAATCCTGGCACATTCTGGGACAAAACAAATGAATATAAGTGAAAAATGGAAATTAATATTAAAGACTAATGGGGAGAGACAGGCGGAGGACTTAAAATGGTCAGTCAGTTGAATGGAACATGAGTCAGCGATGAGTCAGAAGAGGGGAGAAACCTTGTAATTAACGACAGAGAGACAGAGTAGTATCCAAGACATGAGGATTAGTAAAGGTCTACTTCTCACTGCCTTGGCCCCAGCTAAGTACTGTATTTTTTTATTAAGGAAGAAAGCAGTGAAATTAGAGTGAATTGCTATAGGACAAAAGGTAGTTGATTCAAAAAGAAGGAAAGTGCATTTTAAATGAGGTTTTTGGGTTTTTTTTGGAGGGGGGAACATAGTAATTGTGAGAATAATTTCCCAGTCAAGCAGGTGATCAGTGGTGTATGGGTAAATGCTGAAGTGCAGGGTCTCATTGTGACAGCCACCATAGCTCTACCCCAGAGGAAAGCCCAGAATCGAAGACTGCTGCATCCAACTTCTACTCAATCATTATCTTCCTTCTCTGAGCTCACCTATGCTAGTTTGTTATAAACAACAACAGTGAATCTCGAAAGCCTGGCTCTTGCTTTAGTCACTTTCTAGAGCAAGGCGAGTCTGTCGTTTACTCTGGCGGACGATTTATTTGTTTATTTATTAACCGCCCTTCACCCCAAGGTCCTAGCGCAGTTTACAACATTAAAACACAATATTAAAAACAATTTAAAGCAACTTACAGTCAAAGAAAAGCAAGGTGGGTCCTAAAAACATACGCCTCAAGTGTCAAAAGCTGAGGGAAAGAGGTGCATATCTTAAGCATTCTCTGGAAGCTGTGCAATGAAGGTGCCACGCGGACCTCTGTGGGGAGGGAGTTCCCCAGTTTGGGGGCCACCACAGAGAATGCCCTCTCCTGGCCACCACTCCTCCCTCCCCAAACATCTGAGGATGGAGGAACTACCAAGAGGGCCCTGTCTGCCAATTTCAGCACCTAAGAGGGTTTGTAGGGAAGGAGAAGGTCCTTCAGACATTTGTGGATTGAAACACCAACGTGAGCACGTTAAATTGGGCCTGGGAACGAAATGGCAAACAGCACAGCTGTTTTACAGCTGTTTTAAAGCAGTCAGTAATCTGGCTGCCGCATTTCAGATCAGCTTAAGTTTCCAAGTTGTCTTCCAGTGCAGCCCCATGTAGATGATGTTGCTCCTGTTTCACCCCATGTCCTCCTTCCACTGCACCACTGTGGGAGTAGCTCATTAATAAGGCAAGGTTGATTTACACCAGTGGTTCCCAGACCTTTTTCAGGCCGCCACCCCCCCACCCTGTTGATTCTATAGACTCATCCCTGTCGCCTCCCACTCTACTCTATAAAAGGCATTACTCAGAATGGCAGTTTGCACAACCCAGTAAGGAAAATAGTAACAGAATACATTTCAAAATAGCACCAATTAATTGCACATTTGTTCAGAACCCAGTTTAAACTATTCAGTTTAATTATTTCAGCAAAATGGATGAACTTGATTCAGCTTTTGCTTACTTGGTGTGAGATCATAGAATTGTAGAGTTGGAAGAGTCCACGGGGGTCATCTAGTGGAATCTTTTGCCCAAAGTGAGGCCCCACCCCTGCCATTAAGTGTCTCATGCTCTACCAACTGAGCCATCGCTTCTGTTTACTTGCTGGTCTTTTGCAAACTGCATATACAAGCCTGGTCTCTCACCTCCTAGCCCAGCACTAAGCGTTATATGGAAGTAAGCAGTGTGTGTCATTGCTTTTTTCCTTGGCATTTGAGGACCTGGCTAAAAGAGCCCTTGGCCAAAGATATCTGCCTTTTGGCTTGCATGGCCCACAGTCCACCCCCCCCTCTAACCAGCTGTTCTTGTTATGCAGGAAACAAGGGTTTGGTGTCTGGCGCGTGGCCTGAACCCTGTCTCTGGCAGACACAAGATATGGCGAAGGAGTTCCTTGTTTCAGGCTGGGAATTGGACCTTGCCCATCCATAAAAATAGCCGTTAAAGGCTTGACGAAACCAAATCTAGGCTGGTTAAAAATGTTTGCATGCAGTACTTTTCAGATGGGGCTGGTAAATGGGAAAGGTACGTAATCCCGAGGCTCAATACCAATCTTAATATGCTTCGCGCACTGTTAAGGTCACTGCTCAAATTTAGTACAGCACCTTTTCTGTGCGCAACGGAGCATAATATAATAATAAGCATTCTGAGATAATACTGCTTCTTTTTTCTTTCAATTTTGCTCAAAGAACCTCTCTTTTCAGTTCTATTTACAGGTAGGTAGCCGTGTTGGTCTGCCATAGTCGAAACAAAATAAAAAAATTCCTTCCAGTAGCACCCTAGAGACCAGCTAAGTTTGTTATTGGTATGAGCATTCGTGTGCATGCACACTTCTTCAGATACGCTGAAACAGAAGTCACCAGACCTTTATATATAGTGAGAGGGTGGGGAGGGGTATTACTCAGAAGGGTGGTGGGAATGAGTGATTGGCTGATAGGTGTGGTAAACCTGTTGACGACTGTTAAATGACTGCAATAGGTCTCTAAGGCGCTACTGGAAGGATTTTTTTTATTATCTTTTCAGCGACAGCTAAAGAACAATTTGCTTTCTAGCTGCTGCTGCAACAGCAATGGATCAACAAGCAAACACTTGTTTCCCCAATGCTTCTTACAGGGTTCTTACAAACTAACCCCCCCCCCCAACTATTTTGCATGTGAGATTCAGGTGCATTTCAGCAAATTCAGGTTATGCAATGAGAATTAACAACATGAATTTTACGGTAAGGAAGATGACGGGGCAATGCTTGAGAAGCTGTGGAGTAACACCTGCTTGAGGCAATGTTGTGTAACAGATCAGAATGAATGGTCCAGTGGCAGCCAACGTCATCTAACCACCCTGCAAGCTTTGTGCCAACAAATTTGGGTGAACGCTCATTGAATGGGTTGTATGAAAGGAACCCTAATAACACACTGCTCTCTTTATAAAGACTTTCATTTGGGCAACAGATATGTGCCCGTAACTAACTTGGTCCAAAGAATGAGTTTACATTGCAGCTGGACAAGCCCATTCCTAGCACAACTCTTCTCCTAGCAAAGTAGAACAGAGTTTCACAATAGTATGGTAAAGCAAAGGTAGGGAAACTCCAGGCTTGTGGAACCTACATTGCAGTAGTACCCTGTTTGCTGAGTGCCCTGCTACTTGGTTTGTTTGTTTACTAGAACCTTGAAATGCACTGACCCAGATCAGTGAAAGACATGCATTTAGCATTAAAGAATTCTGAGCCCCAAAATTTATTTGAGTATCGGAACTCGATGAAGCTCATGGTTCTTCCATTCCCCATCTGACTTCACTTCAACCATAAAATTTCGGAAGAGGGAATATTTTGTTACTTCTATCATTAAGCAGTCCTTCCTAACTTACCAAGTCACCTGGAAATCTACCCATAGATGGAGAGATCTACGTTCTGCCCACGCTCGTCTGAGAGACAACTCTGCCTCCATCCCAACAAACAAGCACAGATTCCCTTCTGGAGCTTTCACTTTATTTATTTGTTTAAATATTTAAACGGAACATTTTGAGCCCGCCCAAACAACCCAGCAACAAAACAGTGTAGGAGCCATGTTGGTCCATAAAGGGGGGGGGGGGATCTAAAATTACCATACCTAAATGTCAGTGTAGTTATTATGAGCAACCAAATGTCACCAAATACTGAAGACGCTTTCAGGTTATCCTAGATGGCTAGATGTTAAACAAAGCAGTCAGAGGAGGGGAAAGGGGGAAAAACACACACATTTGGCTTGATGGTGAAGATGCAAGGTCTGCATTTAGTCACAGTCTGAAGATGGAGTTCAGGAAGAGATAGCAGAAGAAATTGGATTAGGCAGGCTTTACTCGGTGCTTTGCAGGTTTCAGGTTGTACCTATGACTGCACAAACAAAGAAACAAGTATTGGCTGATAACCCTGGTTTTTTAAAATAATAATAATAATAAATAAACCCATCAGTTACCTGGCTTTTTGTACCATACCATTCAAAGGCAAATCACAACATAAAAACTGGATACATTTTTTTTTTTAAAAAAACACAATAACCCAGAGGTGGAAAGAAGACATAGTCCCCACCAGAGAAGAATGGCAGATTAAATTGATGGATTATGCCGAAATGACAAAAATGATCGGAAGAATTAGAAACCAGGAAGACCTAAATTTTAATAAGGAATGGGGAAAATATATAATTCACCTTAGAAATCGTTGTAAACTATTAAAATTATTAGTAGGATTGGGATGTTACTTGTAGTTGAATGTTGAATTATGGTTGTAATGGAGATTTAATAGGTGATTTGGATTAATAGAGAAGATGCAGGAGGAAAAAAGTTAACTTAAGTACCCACAAAGGGGAGGAGGGAAGTCCAGGTGAATCTATGAGATTCTCTTTTTATTTTGGTTGTTTGACAATTGTTTGTAAATTTCAAAATCTGAAAAATTATTTTTTTAAAAAACAACAACCCACAAAAGTATTTCTTTGTATTTTTTAAAAGCAGCTTTAAAACCCTGTTTTAAAACCCAGATATTTCCTATAATAAAATTGTATTTGCTACTAGAAATACAACAGCAAAGGGTGCTCTTTTGGGGGGAAAGGGAGTTCCTGAGAGTGGCAAAGGCCTTACTTAACCTGTCCTGCTGTATCTCAGATAGCGCAGGGCTCCTGAGCAGAGCGGCGGTAATAGAACTGCGGTATTGACATCTTTTGCCATGTCAGCCTTGCAGCTAGAGCCTGTTCCTGGAGTTCATCTGTGGGCATCATGTGTTGTTTCCTTGCACTGCAGTCACCTATCGGTTTATTACCTGTAATAAACAAGCCACTTACGTTTGACTAATTAGATCTAAGCCAGTAAATGGCTTTGATGCAAGTATTCCCTCTTAATTGAATAAGTCTTCTAACAACACTCAAGTAGGGCATGACTTTCTAAGGACTGTTTTGACTACCATCGAACAACTTGCAGTGCCAGGCTAGAATACAAACAGGATAGCTGTGCAAAGTGATGGCTAATGGAAATTTCCTTTCATTTTAAACTTGGCAATGCTCAGATTTTAATTCTCTTACAATGTAGTCATATCTATCTATCCAGAAGTAAGTCACAGTGAGTTCAGCGGGGCTTATTCCCAAGTATAAGTGGGTACAGGATTGCAGCCTTAAGGGTGTTAATTAAATGCCACCTTTGCCAGTAAGTATATGCTCTTCTCTATCACTTCTGCATTGCTTTTCCCATTCCCTGTCCACCCAAAAACAACAACATGGCAATGATGCACTGTTGATCACATTCTTGACAATTCGCCCTTCTTTGGGATCAAGAGAAGGAAAAAACCATAGCGCAACAAACTCAAGCCCTGATTGATTGCAGCTCCTTGCTGTTTTCACGACTGGCTGGCTCCATCCTGTTCTTACGTCACATTGTTCTGACAGCCAGGGTGATGTAGTGTTCGCTGCACTTGGAAGCAGGGAGAGATCTGTGTTCAGGTCTTCACTTAACCAAACAAAGCTTACTGAACGCTGGGCCAATTTCACACTCTCAGACCAAGCTGCATCTCAGAATTGATGAAACAAGTAACCACTTGTTGCCTTTAATACTTTGCGGAAAGGTGGAATATAAATAAACAAATAGTAATCAAAATTAAAAAAATAACACCTGCAACAGAATCTTGCAGATTGGAGTGCTGCTGTTTAGGATTCTGGCTACTTCATTCCATTAGACTCCATTCCTTCTCCCATATTCTGGTTTTCCATCTCTCTCCTGTCCAGCAGTCAGCATTCCTTGGACACTGAATAGACTCAGTCCTCAATGAATGGTTTTGTGGTGGGTCGCTCCTCCCCCTTTCCTAAACTTTCTTTTGTACTTCTCTTGTACTTCTGGTAACTCTGGGATTCTTCTAAATCCTGCTAATATCTCCTCCTGTGTGGGTGGTGCTGGTCTGGTCATTTAACCCATGGCACTCAAAACCCGCACATTGAAATTAGAGGGAATGACGTGCGTTGTCCTAAATTTCTAGAAGGAATGTTGGAGTGATATAAATAAATGCATGGAGCCACACTTGAAGTTTATGCCAGGAAAAATAATAATAATTCTCTAATGAGCATATAAATGAGTAAATCTTCAGGTAGATATCCACAGCAGAGACCTACCTTTTGGCCAGTACATCAGAGCTGAATTATTCTCTTAATGCAGCCAAGTTGGGTTATTTCTTTCTCTTTTTTCTTTTTTGTATACAGTACAGTAAAGGGATTTCTCAAGGTACAGGAAGCCTGTACCATCATTCTGTTTTGTTTTAAAATCTATATCCCATCCAAATGTTCTCTAAAGGCAGTCTACAAGACAATGTTTTAAAGCATACAATAAAAGAAACGATAAAATCCAAAGTCAGCCATCAGTTAGACATCGTCCCTGGCAGCAGCAAGAGCATTCTAAGGACTTCTGCAGATGACCTACATACTGAGCATTCAACCTGATTTGCTTACAGAAAGCATATGCAGAGCTTAAGATTACATCGGGTCTTTATTGAGCATTAGTTCCAATTTGCTTATGAAGTATTTTACCACCCTGTTAATCACTTGTTCGTTCCACACCTTTTCATGCATTTCTCCTGTCACTTTTCTAACCACAAAAAAAGTACATTTCTTTCTTTGACGTGACATTTGTTGCGCCAGGGTGACAGAGCACTTTAATCCACTTTTATGTTTTCCAGACTGAAACTTCACGGTGCGCTGTTGAATCCCTCCTGCAAAATAACGACAGTTTGGAGGCACCCTTAGACTGCAAATGCCTGCTTAAGGAACATAAATGCTTTGGCCAACTTCCTGTATTCCAAGAGCAAACACATGTGTTGGGAAGAACCCACCTCAGAAATGGTGCTGCTATTGAGAAAGCCCTTTAACTTCTTAACTGCAAAAGCTGAGCTATTTCTTAGAGGAGCCTGGAGTGCACGTGGAAGGAGGCAATACAAAGGGTACCTTAATAGCATTCATCATGGTTGCAGCTGCTATGACCTGGTTCGCACACGAAGCTTAGTCAAACAGTGGCTTAGTGAAAATGTGCGGGTTCTCAGAGAAGAGATCACAGTTGCCTTGCTCTCCTCCAGTCCTGTTGCTGCTGCAGTTCTGTGAGCTAAGCAATGGTTTGGCATATCATGTCATTTGAAGCTCAGGGTCATGGTTTCCTCTCTCTAAGCAAACCGTGAACTGTAACCAAGGTTTGCTATTTGTTTATGCCTCATAGTTTGTCTGGAGGAGGAAAACCATGAGCATGGGCTCAGCTGACATGCTAAACCAAACAATTGTCTAGCTTGCAGCAGGACCAGAGGAGGTGCAAAGTGGCCACAATCTCATCTCTGGGAGCTTACACATTTGTGCTGAAACCATGGTTTGGCTTAGCATTACATGTGGGCTGAGCCAAATCCCGCTAATAGTACGGCTTATTTCTTTGTTTCTTTTTTTGAGAAGCAAAGCATCTAGTAAGCCTGATCTTTATTAAACTGTTGCAACAGGGTCCTCACTCACCACATGGTGGAGGAAGGAGGAACCCAGAACAAAGGTGTGCCCACCCTTCTATAGACCTTTTAAATTGCCCAGCCTCAAACTCCAGACCACCCCCGGAAACATCATACATACATCACAGGGGGCGGTCTAAAACAGAATCCTGAGTGTGTTGTTTATATCTTGTCTGGCAGGTTACCTGATTGCATTATCTGGGTTTTGGTCATTCTTTTTTTTTAATGTATTTTTTATTAAAGATTTTCTTTGTTTACAAAAGTATGTGCAATCTCTCTCTCTCTCTCTCTCTCTCTCTCTCTCTCTCTCTTCCCATCCAAGTAACATTTTTTACAGATCAGTTTCATTTGTTGAGACATTAGGAAGAAGAAGGTGAAAGGGGGGGGAGATAGGTGGGGTCGGGTGGCGATGTTTCTATTATACTTAATATATGTGGGGTTTTGTGTCCGCATCGCTTGTGAAGGTTCTGTGCTATTCACTTGTGTTCCTTTGGTGGTGAGAGAGGTTGGGGTTGGCCTAGGGTGTGGTTGTTTGTTTGTGATTCACTGTGGTGATCTTTATTTTCATGTGTGAGTGGGGTGGGTGGGTGTTTTAGATCAGGTTAGCCATACTGATTTGAGTGCGGCTTATTTCTGTACTTTCCAGGGTTCATTGTATTAAACGATGTTCCCTTTGCCCATAGGATTAACAAATTTTAATATCCTGATCCCAAACGCAACAGGTGGAAGCAAATTCCATTGAAGCTGAGATTAGTATATACAAGACATATTCCTTTTTGGAGGCAAAATGCAAGATGGTGCCCCCTCTCCTGACAGCCATTCCGTGTACAAAGCCAGGCACCCTGGTGATGGGGCCGCATCCTGAGAGCAGGAGGCTGATTTAGGGGGCTCAGGGTTAGCTGAGATCTCCGTGCCATTCAGTTTCTGCCATCTGAGGGGAGTTTGTGCCCAATGGCAGGGCTGGCTTTTGATGCATTGTTAGGTTTGAGGTTGCCCATTAAACTGCACTGGAGATAGAATTCCAGTTGAAAAACAAATAGGAATTCTGTATACTCTGAATACTGGAAAAAAAAAAAGTATATTGGAAAAGGAGGTGGGAGATATTTGCTGCTTTGCCTCAGGTAGCAAAATGTTTTGGATTGGCCCTATAGATACAGTGGTACCTCAGGTTAAGTACTTAATTCGTTCCGGAGGTCTGTACTTAACCTGAAACTGTTCTTAACCTGAAGCACCACTTTAGTTAATGGGGCCTCCTGCTGCTGCCGCACCGACGGAGCACAATTTCTGTTCTCATCCTGAAGCAACGTTCTTAACCTGAAGCAATATTTCTGGGTTAGCGGAGTCTGTAACCTGAAGCGTATGTAACCTGAAGCGTATGTAACCCAAGGTACCACTGTACTCAAAATTGACTTGTGGGGGTTGTCAGCCAAATTGCTCTCCCTGAGGGACACATCTGGACACTTGTCCTTACCTTTAAATCAGAAATATGTGGTGTTACAAAACAGAGACAGTTCTGGATATTGAGCACTTGCATTTTAATAACCACCTCGCAAAGAGTTTTGTGCTTTCAGATGGCATGCACAAACATTAAAGGAAACTTTTGTGTTCACCTGTGTTTTCTTTACTTCCTCTCCAGAGGTTTGATCTGCCCTCAGTATGCCCACAGGAGTATCCTTTGGTAGGTTGGAAGCTGAATACAAAAAGCATATTTCTCTGATGTTCTAGCTGAATAGAGGATTTGAATTTAAGGTACATTTCAACAATAGTTCGTTTCCAGGGAGCAATTTTGCAAGAGGTCTTATGGCAATTCCACACCGTTTTAAAAAATAAAAGGCTGACATTATTGACTGTGCTGGGCCACAGCTGTGGATCATTGTATGAAATCCCTTTTAGAACGGGAGTATGTTGGGCATGAGATAAACAGAATGTGTGTTTTGTAATTTGCACCTCTCTTTTAAACCATAGCTCCTGTTCAGGTTTCCTGCTAGACTTCTATGTCCGCTTTCAGGATACTCTAAGGTTTTCTCCCCAAAAGGCAGTTCCCACTGAGTGTACCCAGTCTTCATTGGGCAGTTCCCTTCCCCACGCTTAGATTCCCACCCACTCTTTTTGGGGGGTAATTCTACAAACCTTGAGATCCCCCAGAACCTACTGATATCTCCTCTTGTTCATGGCTGATACCTAGAGAGCCACAGTTGGAGAATGAGTTTGCTGTTAGTATATAGGAGTCTCTGAACACAAGAAGAGGCTGCTGGATCAAACCAAAGGGCCTAACAGTCCAACATCCTGTTTTCACAGTAGCGGAAAGCCTGAAAGCAGGACCTGAGTGACACAACAACTGGTATTCAGCCTCCAGCGGTGGTGGTAGTACACTCGGATAGAGAATGGTATTCCAAGTAGCACATTTCAGGCTACACTCTGCTCAGACAACTGTCAGGGCTGGAGTCAGATGCAGGTCAGCACGAAGAGGCAGAGTCAGTTGTCAGTGAAGTTAACTCTTTATTCAAGGAAATGGCATAAGAACAGCTTAATTTATGAGAAACTTGCATTAAGAACGCTGCAAACCCGGAAGTAGGTGTTTTGGTTTGTGAACTTTGCCTTGGAAGCAGAACATGTTTCGTTTCCTGCTGAGTGTAAATTGAATCCCCCACCGCTATGGGAAAGCACGCCTTGGTTTAAGAACGCTTTGGTTTAAAAACGGAATTCCGGAACGGATTAAGTTCGTAAGCCAAGGTACCACTGTACAACTCTGCAATACTTCCTAGTAGGTCTTGCCAAGACTAAAGGTCCTTCCACACCTCTCTAAGGCGCCTCCTCTCCCAGATGTTTTCCAAGCAGTCTCAAACTGCATCTGCACACCTCTGGTCTCTGTGTTCTGCCGTCGTCATTATTCTGCACGTTATTTTAGATCAAGGGGAGCTTGTCGCAACAGGAGAGGGCGAGTCCTTGGTTTCTACAGCAGCCTCTTAACCCACCTCCTTTGCTTCAGCCTCGGAGTCTGATCTGCTCCTTGTCACCAGCTCTCCCAGCTCACTAAACCCTGTTGCCCCTTCAGCATCCAGCCTCTCCTCCCAATCTTCTCCCTCTGACCTCTCCTCAGTGTCCCACCACTGATCCCTTGGCTCTGAGCCTTCCTCCTCTGGGGTTTCCCTGGGGGGTTCCTTGGCTGGTGTCTCCCTCCACTCCTCTTTGTCCAGCCAGTCCTTGACAGCAACACATGGAGAAAATGTCTACTGGCTCCTGCCCCAGCCTTCTTGCATTAAATAGGGAGGACCAAAGGGAGCTTCTGAGCACATTCAGCTGAATGCATTTAGAAGCCCCCCAGTGATTGGGAGTCCTGAGAAGGAAAAGCCTCCCAATTGTGTGGTGGCTTCCAGCTACTTTCAGCTGAATGTGCTTAGAGGGCTTGGCCTTCAGACCCTGGGACTCAACCTGGAAAAGGGGTGATGACACTGGGGCTAGGGCAGGGGTCCCCAAACTAAGGTCCGCAGGCCGGATAAGGCCTGAGGGACTTGTTTATCCGGCCCACAGCAACCCCCGCCGCCCACTCTTTCCGGCGCTGCGCTGAGCAGCTGCCCACTTCCGGGTCTGAGGAGCACCAGAAACAGTTTGTGCGCACGCGCAAGTGTTGTTTGTGCATGTGCAAGCGTGCACATCTGGGTCGGAGGAGGCCCGTGCACATGCACACAAGCTATTTCCGGTGCTCCTCCAACCCGGAAGTGCGCCAGAAATAGCGTGTGTGCATGCGTATGGGTGCGCACTCCTCCACCCTCTGACTCGCCACGTGGTCGGCGCTGGAGACACCAGCCTCAGGCGCAGTAAGTTTGCTGACCCCTGGGCTAGGGTTTGCCTGTGTGATTCTATTGTCCTGTTCACACATTTACTTTAAAGACAGTTCCCTTCAAATAAACATTTGCTGTGTGTTTATATAAACTGGGGGCTTGCGTTGTTGGGTGACTCATCCATATCCTCTGGTAACATATGGGTATATTACCATATAATCTTCATAGCCGTATATCCCATTTCCACTGCTACAGCTTTGCAAAGTCTAGTCCTGATGTAAGGTTTAGTCTGTCTCATCCTGTTATCGTGGAGCCAGTTTATACGCTTTATAATCTGTAAATGGTCACTTTAACCAAAATGGCAAAATGCGATATGCGCTATTTATTTAGTGCAGATTTATTGAGCTCACCATCCAACACATTTCTCTTCTGCATGGTTTTTTTAATAGTCTTTTGACCTTCTTAATCAGTTACAGGAAACGGAGAGGTATGGGCTGGTTTGCACTGTAGGTTTCTCTTCTCATGGTCATAGTAGCCACTGAACTTTCTTACGCTCTAAATGCTACACAACATGGGCACATCCATTTCAAGCATGTTCAATGCATATTTAAAGCCACAAAGAATCCTGGGAATTGTGGTTTGTTAAAGCTGCCCTGTGAGGGTGAAACCACAGTCCCCAGGATTCTCTGGGGGAGAATCATGCTTTAAGTGCATGATGTTTTAAGTGCATGGTGAGGATCTGCCCTTTGAGTCTGGAACACTGGGATGAAGGGCATTTCAGGGGGAAAGTGAGTGGCAGGGCAAGGGTTAAGCATTCCTTTATCCACTGTCCTTGATGCTCTTCTTCCCTCCCAAGAGCTCTTTGCATGGGAGAAGTTGCCTCCGGGACTTTGTTGGGCACAGCTGTAGTGCTGTGCTCGGATTGTTACTCATAATAAGTGGAGGAAATGTATTTGGACAAGAGCTGGGTAAGGCAGCCTTTGCCAGACTACAACTCTGTGCTGGCTGGTGCAAGTTGCAGGCTAAAGCATTGGTTGGGGGAAGGCAGCAGTTTGGAAAAGGCTGAATTTTAACAAGTAGAGTGGAAAAGAGTTGAGAGATGCAACAGGAGTTGCATCATTATTTATTATTAGAATTTATATACCGCCCTATACCCGGGGAAGGGGTGTCTCAGGGTGGTTCACAGAACAAAATCAAAATATAAAACCACAAAATATATAATCAAAATAAAAACAACATAATAATAATATATTTATTATTTATACTCTGCCCATCTGGCTGGGCGGCTTCCAACAAAATATTAAAAATACAATAAAACATCAGACATTAAAAACTTCCCTAAAAAGGGCTGCCTTCAGATGTGCTCTAAATGTCAGATAGTTGTTTATTTTCTTGACACCTGATGGGAAGGCGTCCCCCCCCCCAAAAAAACCCCCCACATTTTAAAAGGGTATAGGATGTCAATCAGGTCAGCCAAATGCCTGGTTAAAAAGGAACGTTTTCACCTGGCGCCTAAAGGTGTATAATGAAGGCGCCAGGTGAAGTTCCCTGGGGAGAGCATTCCACAGGCAGGGAGCCACTGCACAGAAGGCCTGTTCTCAGGGGTGTGGTGAAAATCTCATTTAACAACGAACAAAGCTGGAATCCTATACCAAGCTTCATAGGATTGCACTGTAAAGTCTGAAAACAAAGCAATAGAGTGAAACAGTAAGGAGTATCAGGAGCTGAGAGGAGTAATTCCCCTTTTTTGGGGGGTGGGTGGAAAGCTTTGCTTTATGGCTGTTCTTCAGGACTAAGTACTCTGAGAATGCTGATCACTCAAGATGGAAGGAGTGCATGATCTTCACTGTCTGTTACTCACACGTTGAGATCAGCAATGCTCTTGTCATTATAATTTGCATTAGTGACACTGATATTTATTTTTCAAGAGCCATTCTTTATGCCAAAAGAGACTTTGATTATGTTACGATGCCTAATTCCACGGCAGGTTTGAGTCATCATCTGTCATTGGAGAAGGGCATCAGAGTTCTTTTCCACTTAAAGAGAGAACAAGAGGGGGGAATTTGGACACGATATCCCAATTCCCAAATACCCTGGTGAATAGAAAAATGCGCATCATGATCTTTTTAATGGATTTCTGCACAAATTCCCCCAGCTTTAAGATGAGTGATACAGTAACTCAGGTAAGATTATGACTAGGACTGTGACATTCACGCTTCACCCTCATATGCATGCAAGTAACGTGGTGTGGTGTTATTTAAAAAATGGTTGAATTCGTTCCCTTTCTGTTTTCACGAATTGTAGCAAACAGGGACCGTGGTCCCCTGTCTTGAATGTTGTCCCCAGGGAATCTCACCGGCACCTACTTACACAATTTTAGGTGCCAGGAAAAGACTTTTGTCTTCCCTTCTGGCTTTTTGGTTGTTTTCAGAAGTTTAGTAGTTTAGGTAGTAGTATCAGTTTTAAGTATTTTAAAGATTAACTGTTTTTCAGGGGTGGCTTTAATGTCTAGTATTTTATATTTAATGTCATTTTATATTTAATGTCATTGCTGGGTTTATTATTAATCCCTGAATGGGGATTTTGTGACTTTTTTGCTTTCTGTTTAAAGTGGGATTTGTTGCTGTTGCTTTATGTACGTGTGTTTGTTTAATTTACTTCCGTGTATTGTATGTTTTGATTTACTTGTAAGTTGCGTAGAGGCATTTTGCATTAGGTGGCACTTATCTAAACAACAGCAGTAACTATATAGTACCCTTTTTTTTGCCTAGTTTCAGTGCGGAGATAAATTTTAACTAGCTGCAGTCAGGTGAATGAGTTGTGATACAACTAACAGAGGAGTTCTTTGGAAAGAACAGACCATGCTTAGACGTGAGTTGAAAGCAAAATAATGTATCAACCCCTAGTTGGGAAGGGAGCCAATCAGAAGCTCCCTTAAGTGGTAGGCTTGTTTGGTACCCTCCTTCACGCTGCCCTGATTCAGTTTCTATTTAAACATTTGTCTTCTGAGCTAAATCAGTAAGTAAATAGGGAGCTCTGGGATGATTATGCCCCCCACATGTCCCCATGACCAGCTTTCTCTGGCAGAGGGTTTTAACTTCTAGTGTAGCTTTCCTGTGTGATGCAGAGCCCTAATTTCAGGTATACGGTTAACGTTGCAGTAGATGATGAAGAAGAAGAGTTTGGATTTGATATCCCGCTTTATCACTACCCTAAGGAGTCTCAAAGCGGCTAACATTCTCCTTTCCCTTCCTCCCCCACAACAAACACTCTGTGAGGTGAGTGGGGCTGAGAGACTTTAGAGAAGTGTGACTAGCCCAAGGTCACCCAGCAGCTGCATGTGGAGGAGCAGAGACGTGAACCCAGTTCACCAGATTACGAGTCCACTGCTCTTAACCACTACACCACGCTGGCTCTCACATTGCCTATACTTTGCTTTGAGCCCTTCAGATAATAGGCTATAAATCCCTGCCCTGTTTTCCCATCCAGCTGGATACTCAAGATATAATCTGTTATATACAAAGCCATTATATATTAATAACCCCAATGTGTTAAACTTGCTGCATCTGCCAGTTCTCTTCCTTTCTTTGAGACGTGAGCAGCTGCCATTTTCTTCCATGTCTGCCCTTAATGTCAACAGCAGGCTTTCATGTGATGGATCTTCTCTTATTTCCTCCGTATCTACTAGCATCATAAAGTCTGCAACCTGCCAGGCACCTGTTGGTTTGTGACTACTTTCACTGTGCTGCTCATGCCTCGGCCTCCATTGCCCTTGACATTTATGTAACTTTAAAAAGACTTGCATAAAGCTTCCGAGACCACCCTTTTTGGCATACCAGGATTTGACACCAGTCAGATGAGGAGCACACAGAAAGTTTACAATGTTAATAGCATGCTGTGTTAGGGTCACAGTACAAGCTAAGAAGGATGGTGAGGGGCTAGAGGACTTTTTGTAGAGCTAAAAAGTTTTAATATGGAAGAGTTGCATGTTGTTATTATTATTTACTTTGGATGAGGACAGTCTCTGACATTGCAGTCCTGTGCAAGTCTACGCAACGGGCCAGTCAGCCTAAATCCATCTTGTGGCTATTTATCAGGAAAAGCCAATGTGGTACCAGCCAGATGTTTGTGGCTTTTTGAGCAACTTTATCTCTATCTAGCCAGTGTTTGAAATTCTCCAAGTGTCAAACACATTTTGCACCTGGCTATCAGTCACTTGCAACCAAGTGAAGATGTCTTGGCGCCGGCATAGCACCTGACATCTCCACCATCTGGAGGTGCAGCCCTGGGGATCCTTGGTTCTTGCTTGTTTTCATACACTAACATACACTGTAGAATTTTATCCGTGTTCTTTTATCTGCACAATCAAAACGAATTTCAGGAACCAAAAGGTCATATTGAAAAATACAACTTTTGAGCCATGTGGCCCAAAAATGTCAACCAGGCATTCCGTTTTGGTAACTACAACCCTGGTTTAAGGAGTAATTTGGTGCCTATCTTATATATTTGAATTTCTCTGGGAAATTCTGCAATGGCCAGAAAAATTGCTATGGGAAGTTTATGAGCAGGGCATGAAGGCCATAGCATTCACTGGTTGTTCCCTAGGACCTGGTATTCAGAAGGTTTGCTCTCTGTGTTTTGTTTGTGCATGTTATCATCATGTCCCCTAGCTCTAAAATAGGTACATCCCCCCCCCCAAGATACTTGCAGTCTTGATTGTGTTGCTGTGTGATGGGCTGACATGTGTAGATGATGATGTCTGGCAGCTTTTGAAGTACATTCAAAAGAGCTGTTCATCTATGTTAATATCCTTTTTCTCCCCAGGTGAAGTCCTCTTTATTCCCCCCAAGCCTTTTAGAGTGAATGGCTCTGTATTTTGGTCTTTGCAATAAATGAAGTGTTTCAATGATGTTTGTGTTGGTTTTATGCAGATAGCTGTATTGATCTTCTTATAATTTATTTGACTGATTGTTTATATTTGATTTTTTAAAAAGAAAATATTGCACAGAGGTTATTGTTAATGTAGGTGCTATGAATGCCCAAATTAAATAAATGAAATATTTCAAAATACAGAAACAAATGAATAGGGCATCGAAAGTGGACTTTACCCTCTCATCTATCAAGCACCACCTTTTGATTCAATAGACTCTAGTGGTAGGAGTGGTTTAGCAAGGTGGGCAGGACTTATAGCTCTACCAACATTTTGGAAGTGCCAGCCCCCACTTTTTCTGCATCATGAACAATTTAATACCTTATATGCACCTTTCCCCCTAATCAACAACCTTCTACCTTTTCAGCTTTCCTTGTAGTGGAGTCACTCCAGCCCACCACACATTTTGGGTTGCCCTGTTCTGCGCTTCCCCCAAACTTTATAAACATCCTTTTTTGTGATGCTTTTGAACAGACTATAACAACCACTGTATAGGTTCTCTTTTCATTGTTGTTGGACTGAATGCTGTAAGGATGTTTGCAATGAGCAGCTGCTGCTTGAAAATATCAAGCCGGTCATTCCTCTTGAGAGCTTGTTGATGAGTACTCAGGAGGAACAGCAGGTAATGATGGCAAGAGCTAAATGGTGCGTTGTCAAAAGACAGCACAAAGATGCCCTGTTCATGAACTATTATCAGGATCCTTGCGTTGAGTTAGGGGAGGGGTCCATCCTGCCCGGTGCCTGGCAGTGGCTGTCTCGGGTCTCGGGCAGAGAGGGCTTTTCCCAGCCTGCAAGCTTTTAATTGGATGTGTTAGGGATTGAACTTGAGACCTTGGGCATGAAAAGCATGTGCTCTGCTGCTGAGTTCTGGCTCTTCTCTGAGCACAGGGCAATCACTGCGTCACCACTTAAGAAGGTGCTGCCAGTAGTTACGCCGCAGAACAGCTAAGTATATCCCTTTGCACTGTTGCTGGGGGAAGCAAGAGAGCCAGGGAAGGACGAGCATTTGAAATGTGCTTGGCTTTGGAGAGAGAGAGAGAGATCGCGGGGAGGCAACAGCAAAGAGAAAAATGGAAAGAAAGAGAGAGAAAAGAGGGAGGAAACAAAACAAAAACCAAGCTTGGCAGCAGCATGCCTTGTTTCTTTATGAAAACAGTACGGCTTTATTCAGTGTGTGAAAAGACCAAATGGAACTGTAACACTTCCCTCCGCAAAAGGCACACTGTGGTGTGATCTCTTGGGATGAAGGAGGGAAA